GTCGAGTCTGTTGGAATTCCATCTTGCGGTTATTAAGAATGGGGTTTCAAATGTGGTGCACAGCCAAGAAAGCTATGCCCCCCAGGCATGAATCTTGGCACAGAACTGCATCCCTCCGTTGATCAGAGAGATTAGGTCACCACCACTCTTTTTATTTCAACATCACTGAGTCAACAGAAGATTTACAAGCTGCCAGACGGCAATCAATCAGGAAGTGACACATGTTTTGTGGAATTGAGGGGAGGAAGGGCAGCGTCTCAGAAAACCTGGGAGCCAAACCCTGTGTCTATCTTGCAGGTGATTTTCTGTTTGGGCATGATCCACAGATGGAAACCACCCCCACAGAAGGGCTCTATTCCGGCAGCCCACTTCCCTCCAGGTAGACACTTGTAAAACAGCTCGTGTCTGTACTGCAAGCCAAAGTGTGGGCATCCTGCATCCTTTTTCCAAATTGTTCATGCATTCCACTTTCATCAAGTAATTAGTGTCAGTCTCGCCTGCCAGGTACACCCCGCCAAGCACTCAGGCTTAGCCGACATCTTGAAATGAGAGCAGGACGAACCATTCATCGGAACTTGTTTATTCAGTGAACTTTGTCCTTTTCTCAGTACGCAAATTCTGAGAAAAAAAATTCTGAGAAAAAAATCTGAGCGCGTGCAGACTGATTTTTCAACTTGGCTTGCCATTCAGTTGCATGCTGTATTTTAGCCTGTCAGGTCTTAGCACACTGCTCCTCCCAGCTACGCCTTAGACTATTTGCAGTTGTGGCTGGAACTTTCAAAAGAGTCTAAGGGAGTAAGGCACCAGGATGCGCCTTAAAAGTCATTGGGAGCTGGGCACCTACACTGCATAGTCCCAGCTGGTCACCCTGCTTGCATGACATTGCTTCTGCTCCCTGACTGATTGAAATGTTTATAAAACAGGAGGAAGGAAATCAAAGAGGCCCGATGAAAACTTCTGGGCCATATCTTTGAGCCTCTTTCTAGTTGCACACTATTGGCCAGCGTTTACCGTTCTAAGAACAGCCCCAAACAAAAAATGTGCAATTGTAGAAAGGAGCATCTGCTTCCCCTGACTTTGCTGGGTCCTTGACCGGTGCTGAGCACCTTTCAGGAATGGATCAGGCCCAGAGGGTTCAGCCCAAGCTGCGAAGATCCAAATGCAAAAACTTCCCTAATGTTTAGAGGCACTGTTTAGAACACAGCTCATGGTTCCATCATGTCTAAGATTAGGAACAAAGGTTATATCTGAACTTCAAGGAGTGGAAGGGGGTTCAGATCTGAGATTCCAGCTCAAGTCCTTTTCAGACACTGGGTGGATGTAGCATCTCTGCATCTTGCTCTAGGTCGTGCCCAGCTGTTGCGTGGCCATTCATTGTCTGGAGATTAATGTCTCCCTATGAAAGGAAGGGCTGGCAAGTGTCTGGCTGGTGCCTTTCTTCCCCCTGTGAGTGGGTCTGTGGTAGGGATGTCAACATGTAGTTGACTACATGATTAACTGATAAGCCTGGCCTTATCGGTTAATTCTATCGACTACACGCACTCCCCGCCACTTGCTGCCTCTTTGGGAGGGGAGGCAGGAGCCAGCTGCCTCCTCCCTCCCCTGCTGCCTCTGATAGTGTGTGTGTGGGGAGGATGCCACAGAGCAGCCCCTGTCCACAGCAGGCCCAGGCCTGGACAGGGGCTGCTGCCACCCCGCAG